GTATCCATCAAAATGGAAGAAAAAAAATCTTAAAGGAGGCTGGAAGAAAAACTGAAGTATTCATTCGGAATTAAGGGCCCACCGGACTATTCCTTCTCACATTACCCCTTGGTGTGTGCTACCAAATCCTATCTAAGGCTTAAAAATATCCATGTATTGATCAGTAATTAGGCTGTTTTCATTCTTCTAAAAGTCATATAAACATCTTTTTAAATGTTTTTTTAACTATAGTTTCACAAAATTATAATATGTGAAATTAAAAGGCTAGATTGAAGTAAGGAGATATAAGTAGCAGGCCCTAAGTACAGTATCTGACAATTTTTTCATATATTTTTCCAAGTACTTACTTATTAAGCAATGTATGTTATGGGAATAACAAGAACTGTCTGGAATGGTGAAGCTGCCATCACAGATAGCAACTTGACTCTCACCAAAAGGAAGAACGAAGAAACAAAGTTTATAGAGTAAACATCCCAGTGCCTGTAAAACAAAGAACCATGAACATCATTAGAGCTCCAGTAATCAACTTAACCACAAGACATAAAAATAGCTCCAAACCAAAAACTAAATATATCATTTTTAAAAACCCTAATGTTTCTATACTGTATCATTCTTTTCACAAATTACTGCTTAAACAAATTAATGTTTTATATTTAAAAAGACATTTAACTACATCATTTCTGTGATTTTCTATCACATCTGTGGCTAGTTGGCCGAATTAATGGTATCAAAACTAAAATTAGAAGTCAGTTACTCCTTCTGGAAAAAAATAATACTTTTATTTCTTCCACAAGGAAAATATATATTTACTACATAACTAGCATATAGCCAACAAAGTAAGTACAAGGCTCCTTCTAACAGCATTTTTAAAAATTCACTGTACAGCACACTTAAAATTGTGGGATTCCAAATGTAAGTTAGACAGCACAATTAAACTTATCAGACAACCATAAATAAATTTTTATTGATTATTTAGCAAACACACCTCATTACTTCGTACTATAAAAATTAAGTTCTCTATTTCTATATATAATCCTATAATTTTCATTGCACATTATACTAATCATATTTATAACCTGGGTAATCTATATTAAAATTAAAAAAGGAAGGGTTCTGTCTGCTTAACTTGCATTGCTTCATAAATATCACAGCACCAATAAATCCACTTGCTAACAGTGACAAAAAACACCATAAAACACAACCTGCATCTAAAAAGTAGCACAGGAAATGTCTAGCTAAGCTGGTAACAGCTCAAATCTGAGAAGCAGGGAAAAAAAGTGATTTGAGGCTCAAGAAATCTTTACTTTTTCACAAGAAATGGAACCTATAGGTTTTAAGTGTGTAAGGGGCATTTCCAATTCTAAGAAAATTGTATAAAATTATCCAATAGTTAGTATACAACTATATCAGCAATAGTGAAATTTGGCCTTACTATCTAAAAATTAGCAAATCAGCTTTTGTTAAATTTTCTCTAGATATCAACTTAGCAAACACAGCTAACAAGTACACTAACTTTTATAACTACTATGAAGGTCGTGATAATATACTGAAACACCCTTGTGAGTTCCGCAATATTAATTTACAAAACATTATTTTCAATGTACCAATGTTCCAATGAAAACAGTTTAAAATCTCTGTAAATTTCAATATATTAGTTCAAAAACATCACTGATTATATGACTAACAAAATTATAAAGATTCTGAATAGAAACAACCAATTCAATATGGTTAAAAAAGATTTATGATGCTTTTTCCTATAAGCAAGACATTTTCACCACATATACAGTAAAATGAACATTAGCCTGCACTAACCGCACTAAAAAAAAAAAAATTACTATTAATGGTGTTATATTCACATTAAATTACATCTTTCCTTCCACTATCCAAATGACAGGGCTGGCAAAAGAGATCTCCATTTTAGCCAGTGTTTTGTTTTGTTTTTTTGTTTTTGTTTTTTTGAGACAGTCTCGCTCTGTTGCCCTGGCTAATCCCACAGCTAAACCCACTGATCACAGCTCACTGCAACCTCAACCTCCTGGGATCAAGCGATCCTCCTGCCTCAGCCTCCTGAGTAGCTGGGACTACAGGCATGCGCCACCATGCCCAGCTAATCTATTTTTAGTAGAAACCTGGTCTTGCTGGTCTCCAACTCCTGAGCGCAAGTCGTCCTCCTGCCTTGGCCCCCAGAGCCCTAGGATTACAGGTGTGAGTCACTGTGCTGGCCATTTTACCAGTTTCATCTTGTTAATCAAACCTTCGTAATGTGTCTTACAGAGTGAATGTAGTGGGGGTTCCCAGAAAACTTTAGCAATGCTGGTATATTTAAAAGAACATAAATCTAAACACTCTTGTTTCACGTAGTGTGAGCACAATGAGGTACGCTAACTTTGCACACCAAGGCCACCCCCCTCCTCATCTACTGCACATGATGAAAGTGGACCAGAAGCACGAGGGAACGAGCGACGTGACTTTGAAGGCTGAGAACCGCCATCTTCCATTTTCTTCATTAAAAGGTAACACGAAGTGTCTCTTACTGAATTTTCTAATGCTTAATAAAATCAGCATCCTAGATCTCCAGATAAAAATAACCTGCAATGGAAACTACCAAGCAAACAAAAACGGAATCAAAAATATAATTCTCGATCAATTAGAATTGAATTCTTTTCTGTGTATCCTTGATTTCACACCTAAGACATAGCAGACTTCTGTTTCACCTGAGCTTAAGTAAGGTAAGCATAAAAATGGCACCATGGAAATTAAAATTCTATCTCTTTCAAGCACATAGAAACATAGATACTATTCTCTGATTATTTTTCTTGTTTTTTATGTTTGAGCATATATTTGTAATCCCACAGCTAAACCCAGTTATCCAGCATGGAAACACTACCAATATACTAAGCTATAAGTGGTACCCATTTTTAAAGTATCGCTGACAACTCAGTATGCTGACTTGCACACTTACTAAGTCTGATGAAAAGTAAACAAAATGAGGATTCCCTGCTATGTGTTATTAGATGACAGCCATGTGCTTAGAGAACAACTTTTTAATCAACTTTCAATGGATTCAAAACAAGCCAGGCTGTGATGCCTGTTGTTTACCTGCAATTGAAATGCTCTTTTCAGGTAATAAGGAATTCAACAGCAGTCACAAAATTAGGTCAAAAAAAGACCTTCACAATCCCTTCTTCTGCCTTCGTTTTGTAACTTAAGACCCAGTTCAGTCTGCTTTCCACATGATACATGACCCTTGCCTTTACTATCTATCACATAAGTCACTTAATGAGTCAAATGTTAATGCCGCAGAAAGCAAACCAAGCGTGAGTTATAAACGCTGGAGATCTATACGCACTATCAAATTAATAAACATATCTGCAATTTGAGTAAATTATGTATCTGGTTAAAAATTCAACTACCATAAGAATCAGCGTTTGGTGAAAGTATGTATATTATGCAGAGAGGAAAAAGATGTCAAAGATACTCTTGTTTTATTACCTGGCAAGAATATCCGTCTCTCAAGACTCTGTCTGGCACCCCGACCCCAAAGAGAAGGAGCCAGAAGAAGAAAACCAAGGAGACACTCACGTGGTTTCCGCATTAAACTTGACTATTTTCTGAACATTATGTTTTAAAAATGAAATAAATGTGACTTTTTTGTGTATTCTAGAACCATTTCCAAAGAATTTTATTCCTCCATCCCTAATACAGTCACTATTGGTAGATATGGCTAAAATGTTGTTGGATTTAAATTAATTAACATTTAAAATAGTTCTCTGCTAGTTTATTAAACATAACCAAAATCATATTTCACTTATGAAATAAGTTTTAAAGAAATGTTGACATTCTAACATAAAGTTCAACTATAAAGAAATATGGTCTATCTCAATAATTCTGTTCAGGTATATACATGTGCTTAATGATAAAGAACTACAATGTACAGAAGCTAGTCAATGGTATGTTCATACTGTAAACAGAAAAAGGCATACTCATGTCAGCTTCTATTTAAAAGATCCTAAAATACTCCAGAAAATTATTATGTAATTACTTAAGAGTTATATCCAGCTTTTCTGTATTGTGATCAACCAAAATTCTACTCAACCAAAAAAAAATGTTAACACTCATAGTATAATCTAAATCCTAAAAAATACTATGAAAAAGTTACATTATATAGAAGTTTTTTATTTGCTTTTTGATACATAAGCTATCCATCTCAGAATTGAGAAGATGAAATATACTAATATTTTTCTTCTTTCAAATAGAAAGCTCTACTCTGTATTTCTCTCTTCTAATTAGGAAATGCCTTCTGGGGCCAGGGGGAAATTAGTCAACTACACTCAGATTTTTTATTTTGTTAGAGCAAATTTCAGCCTTTCTTGGCCTTACCCAGATATCAGCCTTGGTGGTGATGGGTTTCCCTCCATAAAGGTTGATCATTTCAGGGGCTCTGTATGACAGAGTCGTATACCTGGCAGTAAATGAGTGAAATGGAGTGGAGATATATATAAAAAAAAAAAAAAAAGACAAATAATACATTGTTTCTACATAAAACACTACCAAAAATCTTTTAGGTTCAATAACATTATATAGAAATATACTATTTTAAAAAGCTCATTAAAAACCCATCAAGGATTAAACAATACAAAGCATCTATACACATTTTTATTCAACAAGTACAATAGCATCTCTGGTAAAATAAAAGCTTAATTTTCTTAATTTATTATAAAAATCTTAAATAATGACAATGTATTAGAAACAGTTTTCCTTGAATTTCTTACGTGAAATACAATTTGACTATTATAATCTCCTTATCAAAATATTTTAGTCTATTAATTTAAAAGCAAAACTTCCGCCCTCTCAAAAACTTAATTTATATGTTGACTAAGGACTGTGTTTTCATGGATTCTAATATACTTCCTTGCACACAGCAGTAAATCTCATTTGAGTTTATTTTTATAATTGTTGCTTTCAAAGTAATCTAGTTGCCATGATTCTAAGTACGCTCATTCAGTACACTTCTAATACTGTCGTCATAAGCTATCTGGAATCAGAAGATACTGTGAATCAATGTTTACCAATATAAAAACCCCAAACTCATGATGAATGGAACATTTGAACGAAGGAGTGTTCAAATCCCATGTCAGAATTACCAGAATATGGATAGACTTCCTGTATCGTGGAATAATTTAAGATTTATCTTGAGTGTTTATACATTCTACTTTACAAGAAGTTACATAAAACTCAACATTCTACTATCTTACTTTTCCCACATTACTCTGATAGACCACCCGAATGACACTACCGCAGAGGAATGACCTAGGAAATCAGGATATAAACTGCCTGAGGGCAGGAGTTTTGTTTACTACCAGACCCAACACTAACAACAGTGCTGGCTCTCAGGGAATACTTGGTCCTCACATGAATGGGCAGCCCACCAGCTCCTCCATGGAGCCACACGGCACAAGAATCCCTCATGAGCTTTCACTCATCGCTAATGTAACACTGAACGAACCTTAACTATATCCCAGAAGGCAACGGCAAGAAATAAAACGTCCAGCAGGTCAGAGATGCCTGAGCAGAATCCTGTAGCAGCCACTAAAAATCATAATCTAATATATTTTTTAAAATTCTATGTTCCTACATATATCCCCAAGAAGTCAATTCAATACTTCATTATTCTGGTGTTCTCCAGGACATCTAGGTATTTACTGAGGAGTTTGTTTTTATGGAATCTAGCATCAGCACAGACTATGTTTTGAGTCCATGTAGTCTAGAAAGCCACAGTACTATGCAAATGGACCAGAATAAAATAGCTCTATTGGAGCTATCTCAAAATATTGCAGTTCAAATGATAGTTCTTAAATAATATTAAACAATCGAGAATTTGTAAGAAAGTGATGAAAGGCAAACTTAGAAAGTCCTGTTCTGACAGATCTTTCTGCATTCCATATCATTTTATTAAGGTAATCTAAGATTTACAAACAGTTCCACTTTCTAAAACCAGAAAACAGAAAAATCAGGAAAAGGTCCTCACAGGTACTCTAGCAACCATGGGAAGTGTAGGATTAAGAAAACATGAAGTAGGCATGACATATTTCTGCCAGAGAGCTTCCTGGTAAACCATCACAAAGTAACGGTGACTTGGTAACAGCTTTAACACTTTCATTTTCCACGCAGTTTTCAAAATATACGGATGTCAATCTTCTTAATAAGAAGTAAAAGAGTAAATGTTTTCGAATAATTTAACTTTCTCTTAACAAGCACAAATCCTCAGTATCAGTAAAAACAACGATGTTTTAACTGAACTCAATAATCACTTAAAAGACCCTTTTTAATGATTCTACTAATTACCATGGCTTAAATTTCTTTATAAATCTGTTTACAATATAGACGAAAAACTTGCATCCATGGCAAAATATATTCACTTATTTCCTACTGAGTTAGACCAGACATGAATTAATCAACCTCTATGGCATAGGAACATTTTGAAGAAATCTACAAATGGGATATCTAAAATTTGTATTAGCAGAGCTTGTCACAGACTCAAGTTAACTAAAAGTACTATGAGGTAAAGTGCAATAAAGACAATACTTACTTTTTAATTTCTTCTTCTACTACATTAACTCCATCTTTTTGAGGATTAAGAAATTTATTAGTGGCACTGCCAAAGTCACAAAGTACATAGTTTCCACTATCATTCAACAAAATATTTTCTACCTTAAGAAAAGAAAATCAATCGTTAGTAGTATTTTCAAAGTGAAAATTATCTTTTTACAACCATGTTTTTATACAACAAACATTGAAGGGTCTGTGATACACACACACACAATACTCAAATTATGAAGAAGGACAAACAAACCAGAGCAAAAATGCATTTTACTGTGTCTACTGCTTCTCCTACCAAGAACAGAGAGGAGCTTCTCCCCCCCAGGATGATGTGTGCAGGGGCCAGGAAACGCTAAAACTTCTCTAAAACTACTTTTATGAAAGAGAAGAACTCGTAGCTAGCAGAATCCAGCTCCTCTCATTTACTGTACCTCCCTCCTTCTCCTTCTCTGATACTTCAGCTTATCTATAGATAAGTGATAATGAAAACCGTTTAAATTCTTTGATTTACTGCTAGTACCATTTTTATTTAAAACATTACACTGGAAAACACAAATTTGACCTAACTGGTAGATCAGAGTTGTAGTAACTAAAATAAACAAACTAGGTACACAGTTTCTTGACTAGTAGAATGTGGGTTCACAGCCCAATCGGCTAGTTGCCAGCACGTGTACCCTCACACAATTTGCTTAACCACTCCTGTGCTTTAGCTCCCTTATCTGTAAAATGGGGAAGACGGTAATACCTACTATGCGGGATTGTTGCAAAAATTAAATGACTTAAAATATGTGAAGTGCTTACTTAGATCAGTGTCTAGAATATAGTAAGCACTCAATAAATTATTATTACATGTTTTTTCACAATATCTTTTATTTTTATGATACAGTCATAGATGAGAAATTCATTTCTTTCCACTCTATCAAAATATTCATAGTTTCTTTATACATTTTCTTTCATATTTCATTTTAGTCTACTTTTTAAAAATTCACAGAGAATGAAGATTCATATGAAAAAATCTACTTAAAACAAATATATTTTGCATATACTCACACATGTAAAAAGAATTAAGCATATAAAATAAGAACAATAAAAAACAGTAAAGTTTAATATCTTTTCTGAATTTTTAAATCAAGGAGACTCAGCGGGAAATATCAACTTTGTATACAAAAAGTTAACGAACTACAACAGCAAAAAAAAAAAAATTATATCAAATTATTAGGGGAAATGTTGGGTATTCAGAAAAACTGAGAGGAGCTACACTGGTTATCAAATTAAGGGACAGAGATCTGCAACCATGTACTTCAGTCCTGCCTTACCTCCCGCCATGTTTCCTAGATGGTACTGTCATGATTAACCACCTACATTCTCAGTGATACCTTCTATTCTGTCTTACAAGTATTTTATAATCAGCTTTCATAAAATTCTATATAATCATTTGGAATTGGGATTCATACATTAATTCATTAACTATGTATGGAGACTCTGCCGTGTCCAGGTACCATTCTAAATGCTTGGGAACACCACTAACAAAGAAGGAAGAAAAAAAGGTCCCTGCCCTGATGGTGCTTACGTTCTGGTGGAATGTAAGTTCCTACCTTCAGATCCCGGTGAATTATCGGAGTCTTGCACTGATGCAACCTTGCGACAGCTTCACAGGTATCACAGAATATCTGCAACACTTCTGGTTCCGTAAAGCCTGTCTGCAGCTTCTTATTCATCTGGTTCACTACCTGCCCAGCTAAATAGAAAAGCAATTTTGAGAGGACGTATTTTCAATAAATGAAGTCTACCACAAACAGATTCAGAAATGCCTTTACAGCTTCAAGATGGCTTTTTCATAATTCTTATATAAGGATGCTTATTATATCACGTGGTATTGATTCAATGGCAAACATGTTTTCACAATTTACATCTCAGAGATCAGAACATCTTAAGATAGTGTCCTGTTAATGCTATTGGCCATTGTTTTAACATCTCTGAAATCAAGGTGTATCTTATAATTGATGACATATTGGTTTACAGAAATAGCTATTCAACACTGTGCTGTTTACTAGGTAAACAGCGGTGGACAAAAATAAGGTTTCTATTATAGAGTTGACATTCTAACAGTAGAAACAAACAATTGCACAAATACATAATCATAATTACATATTATAACAATAATATGAGAGAACTTTATATAAGAAACCTAAATTTAAATTGGTGAAGGAAGATGGGAAAGAAAGAGTGTCAGATCAGGTCTGTCTAAGGAAGTGATATTTGAGTCTAAAGGATAATCAGGAAATAACCAGGCATAGATTTGGAAGGAGAATATGCTAGTGATATTGAGTAGTGTGTGCAAATGCCTCCCATTTGGGAAAGAGCTTGACAACTTTGAATATCTTAAAAGAAAACCAGCGCTGATAAGGTCTAAGAAGAAGACAGGAAGGCGAGATAAGACTGACAAGGCTGACAGAGATCAGTTATACTTTGGATTTTATCTTGAGAGACAAACAAACTTCTTGATCTAACTTTTTAAAAGATCTTACTGATTAAGGGTTAGGAGAATCAAAAAGTTGTAAATGGAGAGATGGGGTAAGAAGCTAATACTATCCAGGTGAGAGGTAATGGACCAGAGTAATTTTTTTTTTTTTTGGAGACAGGGTCTCACTCTGTCGCCCCAGCTAGAGTGCCGTGGCATCATCAATAGCTCACTGCAACCTCATATTCCTGGGCTCAAGCGATCCTCCTGCCTCAGCCTCCCGAGTAGCTGGGACTACAGGTGTGTGCCACAACGTAGAGACAGGGTCTCGGCTCTTGCTCGGGCTGGTCCTGAACTCCTGAGGTCAAGCAATACTCCTTCCTCAGCCTCCCAGAGTACTAGGATTACAGGCCTGAGCCAACGGGTCAGCCAGAGTAATTTATTAAAATCAAATAGTCACAAATATATATACCACTGAGCCTGAGAGGAAGATTATATATGATAGTAATAGTTTAAAAATTATGATTCTTAATTATTAAGAGTAAGATAATCATCATTATATTTTAAGAATGCAAGTAAGTATGTGACTCATACAGAAAGCAGTCTAATAAAAATAAACTTCGAGAATTTAAAAAAACAGGCCGGGCGCGGTGGCTCACGCCTGTAATCTTAGCTCTCTGGGAGGCCGAGGCGGGCGGATTGTTTGAGCTCAGGAGTTCGAAACCAGCCTGAGCAAGAGCGAGACCCCGTCTCTACTAAAAATAGAAAGAAATTAATCAGACAACTAAAAATATATAGAAAAAATTAGCCGGGCATGGTGGCGCATGCCTGTAGTCCCAGCTACTCGGGAGGCTGAGGCAGGAGGATCGCTTGAGCCCAGGAGTTGGAGGTTGCTGTGAGCGAGGATGACGCCATGGCACTCTAGCCTGGGCAACACAAATGAGACTCTGTCTCAAAAAAAAAAAAAAAAGCTTACATTAACTTGAAACTTTAACAAGGATGGATAAATGAATGTTCACTACTTTGCAATCTGTAAAAGGGTATATACACATTTGTTCCTTTTATTATTACTGTCTAAACAGCAATCTCTTTTCTGAAATATTGGTTTTTCTCTTAGAATTTTAAAGCAAAAGGAATGTCAAATTTTCCCTGAATCCTCAACTTTCAGAAAACTCAGATTTCTGAGTTTATGTTTAGATTATCTCAGAATACTGAGGCACCTGACCAGGCAGCAACTTCCTCCATTCCCTTCTTTCATAGACTCCCTAACTCTATTCTTAAACTAGAGAAGGCTGATTTTAACTTAAAATTAAACAGGCCAAAAGTGCTTTCTTGGTGTTCATGCATATCCTTGAAATATCATTTCACAGCTAAGGAAATCATAATCTTGAACTCATTCCACCGCTTTCAAACTTTCAATGTCGTGATGAGCAGAGTAAATTTTAAACAAATGTTAATTCCCTTTCATCCATCCAGAGTAGAAATCCTGAATCACAAAAACCAAATCCCCAGAGGAAACTAAAAATTGTATTTGAGCTGCATTTCAAATGTAGAAAAAAATAAAATTTCATTACACAAAATCAGAGTTTTCTGAAAATTAAATAAAGCTTAAAAGAAGGTTATTCTAATTTTTTTTAAAAAAGAGTAAAAAATCAGATTCTAAAATCAAACATTATATACTGAAGGTATTTTAAAATGCATATAACTCTTAAATCTTTCCATATTTTCCAAAGAAGTATCATCTCCTAAACAAAATCAGAGTTTTCTGAAAATTAAATAAAGCTTAAAAGAAGGTTATTCTAATTTTTTTTAAAAAACAGTAAAAAATCAGATTCTAAAATCAAACATTATATACTGAAGGTATTTTAAAATGCATAAAACTCTTAAATCTTTCCATATTTTCCAAAGAAGTATCATCTCCTAAACAAAAGCCCCATTTCATCAGTAAAATTTAAAAAGTCAACATTTTTCTAACCTCTTAAAGTTGTCCAGCAACCTTCATATCTAAGTACACTTCTCACCACTTAGTTTAAAAAGCCACAAAGTGCAACCTACTATTCCAATTAAACTCTGACAATGTGACACTTCTTTTTTCAAGATTACTCCATTTTACCTGTCATAGACTGCATCGCTGGCCCCAAACCTCCAACTCGCCCTTTTCCGTGCCCCTTGCCATGTAACTTTGCAGTTCCTCCCAGTAAGTGGGGCGAAGAAAATCTCCTACTCTTTGATGGGGCTCACGCGTGGGCCCTGCTCTGGCCACCAGTGAAAGGTGGCGGGGGCAGCGTGCCTGTCCCACGCCTAGGCCTTGAGAGGCTTCGTCACGTGCTCCCGCTGCCCCTTATGTTTCCACCATCTAC